GGGAATGGGGAAAAAATAAGAATCAAGATATGTCATGTAAAGGTATAAGATCCCAGTGATGAATGTAACTGTATTGTATACCTAAGGGGAAAAATAGGAAAGAGGAGACACAGTGAAAAAACAAAAGCTGAAGGTGTAAAGTGAGGTTGGAAAGAAGATGAATAGATATTCAAGCTACTGATAAATGTAACGTATTATGATTAGTACTTTCAGAAGACTCCTCCTTCCTTATTAAGGGTTGGATTGTTTTTGGTGGGGGGTGCTTGGAGAACAGCTAGCTGCATCTTTGAGTGTCAGTATACTTAACAGAACAGAGTCCTTAAGTGACTAAAGCATTTTTCTTATGTTCAATGTTAAACATCAGAAAGAAATGTTAGTGAAAGTGGAATAAAAGAAGCTCCCCAGCATGGCCAAAAAGAAACCAAAAGGAAAAAAGGGGTAATTTATTAACCTCCACTTTTCAAAGGGTGAAGAAAATTCATTTAAGGGATTACAAACATCCTTGCCATTGGCAACTTGGTATTTACATTTATTTTACCTAAATGCAAAATAAAGTGATTTTGTTTTAAACAAGCCTGTGAGAATTTAGTCTGTAGGTCATGAACTCATGACTTCTGAAACTTGAAATTACATTTTTGAGATATAATGCACATACCACAAAACGTACTTTTAATGTATATGTCTGGTTTTTAGTATATTCACAAAATTGTGTAACCATCACATTTAATTTCAAAACATTTTAATCACCCCAGAAGAAACTCCATATGCACTTAAAATTACTTTCCATTTCCCCTTCCTATAGCCTCGGGCAATCACTAAGCTACTTTCTATTTCTCTGCATTTATTCTGGACATTTCATATAATATGTAGCATACAATCTGTGGCACTTTGTGGCATAAACTGTGACATTTTGGATCTGGCTTCTTTCATTTTGCATATTTCCAAGGTTCATTCATGTTGTAGCATGTATCAGTACTCTATTCATTTTTATGGCTGAATAATAGTCTATTATATAGATATAAAACTTTCATTTACTCATCAATGGATTGATACTAGGGCTGCTTTCTCTAATGCTATGAATAATCATGTACAATGACTTCTGAATTTAAATTCAAAAATTTAAAATTAGTTTTATAAATAGCTGATGACTCAATAGTATACAATTAAGATGGTTTAAATACATATATTTCTACCTGACTCCCAAGTGTTCGAGTAACACTCCATTTTGTCTGATTAGATAACTATTAACAGTTTGTGTTTTTGCAGTATAGGTGAATATCCTAGTTTTCTCTCTACACCATGCACATACATTTTTGTGGTGCTTAGGGTAGAACCCAGGGACTCAAGCATGCTAGGGAAGCACTCTATTACTGATCTATACAAACCCTTTTTATTTTGAGACAAGGTTCTTGCTAAGTTTTCTATGGTGGCCTTGAATTCAAGGTTTTTCTGCCTTGGCCTCCTGGATGGCTGAGGTTACAGGTGAGTGTCATTGGATAGGCTATACATTAATTCTCTGCTATGAACCCTGTCCTGTCCCCCACAGAACTTCTCTCTTCTTCATATAAAAAGACATTTTCCCCTCCTTCCTCTTCTCTCCACCCATCCCCATGGCGGCAAAGGTCAACTCCAGGGGCTCTTGCATGCTAGGCAACCACTAGCTGCCATGGGCTACATTCATCTCCAGCCTTCTATTTGTTTTTAACAGAAAGGCAATACAGGGCTGGGGATGCAGCTCATTGGTGCCACTGCCTGCCTCGCAAGCACAAGGTCCTGAGTTCGATCCCTGGTACCACCCCCACCAAAAAAGAAAGGCAATACACTTACGCATTGCTGTGCCCTTGTGTCGTCACTTATCCTGAATAAGGTTTCCATTTGTTCTTAGACTGTCTTCATTCTCTTCCAAAGCTACAAATTTAATATTGTATGGTTATAGTATAGTTTAATAAGTCTCTCTTTGATGGGTAATGATTGAAATATTTGCTATTTATGAAATTTACTTGTAAACTAGGCATACTGTATGCATCAACCAGTGAAATAAATACTATCAGATTTAATAACAAAGAATAAAAGAAGCTACTTAATCTTAATACTCCTTAGGAAAATCCAAAAAGGTCTATAGCAATTGCACCTCAAAGTACTGCCAATGCCTCAACTGTTAGGTTGTCAGGTAGAACTAGTTATCTAAAATAGGGTGAAAACTGGTAACTAAAGATAGTGGTCTGAATTTTTTTCCTTTAATTTCTTAAAATATTTATCTTTATAGTCTTCAAATTTAATTTAATGAGTTGTTTTCATTAAATCTGATGACAGGGAATTCTTAGGAAATACATTTGAGGTTTTGTATACGGTATTTAGCATATCTTATACTTAATTATAAGGCCAGCCTTAAGAAATGCATCTATAAAATATAAACAACATAGCAATAAAACTGTTTTCTGCTAATGGTTTCTTATGTGAACTTACGATAATTGTTAAAGAATAAGGAACCAAATAAACTTTATTATTTAAATATTATTAGTTAAAACCAGTTATTAAAAAGTTACCATTAAAATAATTTGTGTGCATTTATTTACTATTTGGTAAGTACAAAGGGCAAAATAGAACCTACCCTATTGTCAATGTCATTAGCTTCTGTGTCATGACAAATTTTATCTGGTAGCTTCTTCAACATAGCTATCACATGGTATAATACACTCATAAATAGTCCAAAGGATGGGGTTTTGGGTACATCATAAGAAATAGGGACCGGGGATTTAGCTCAGTGGTTCCATCACCTGCCTCACAAGCACAAGGTCCCAAGTTAGATCCCAGGTACAAAAAAAAAAATAAAAAAAAAAAAAAGAAAGAAAGAAAGAAAGAAAGAAAGAAAGAAAGAAAGAAAGAAAGAAATATACTAAAAAAGAAATCTTTAAGATAGCGTTACAGAAATAAAGCAAAGATGCACTACTCATTTTATTGATTAGTTGGAGAACAAAAGAATGAGATGTGGGCTTAAGACAAGAGAACAATGGTGTAATAGACTCCACTGACTCAGATAAAGAGAGGTACAGAATGAAACCACCCACAGAAACTCATGGTCAGCCAGGTGAGACTACTGCTAATGGCAGTTGACCTAGCCAAGGTAATTTCTGGAAATACTGAGACAAGATAATCTGTTCTAATAAAATGATTAAAGGCTCCAGAAACTACTTCTTCAGCTGTCAGTGAATTCTTCAGAGTGTACCTAATGAAGTGCTAGCAACCGAGTTTTGTGTTTGCTTAAACACCATTGTTCATTTCACTTGATCTAAGTTCAAGTCTGTAAATAAGAAATGCAAGTAAGAATGAGGGGTCAATTTATTTTAAGTAAATTTGTCATTGAATATCAATGTGTACAATTTCAAACATTTATAAATCTTGCAATATGTAGAAAAATTAATGTAATCTTAAAATTATTTGAAGAGTGATTTGCACAATTATGTACAATGAATTCAACCTGTCTAGGTAAAAACATAACTACATTAAAAGTAACCCTGCCAAAAAGTGATAACTTCACAGTACCTTTCCATAATTTTTTCACTTAAGTGGCAGCTGTATCAATAAAACCCAGCAGATTCAATAATTTAGAAACAGAATAGTCAGAACAGTAAATACAAGTTATCATCATTAATTCCAAGCAAAATAAAAACTTTTTTGTTAACAAATATTTTCTCATTCAGTACTGATAGAAGAAAATAGTTAGGAAGCAATATTTTCTCATTTATTTACTACAAAACAAATTAATTTTAAGATACTAAAACACTGGTATTGTGAGATAAGGTATATTCTTGTAACATATAATACTAAATATTTTTATAAGTTCTTGGTTTCACTCGAAGATATTTCTAATGGTAAATCCTTTTTCAGTTGTAGCATAACATTAAGCAGAAATAATTCTCTGATCTCCTACAGAAATTATAATTTCTCATTAGCAGTTGATAACATTTAGATTGAAAGACATTCTTGGCTTCATTCCTAAATTTATTTCTACTTAGCTTTTAAACTTTTTTACATTCCTTCAATTCCTCAAAAGAATCTCAAATATTTATAAACTTAATGCCAAAGAAAAATAATTGTATTTGGACTAGTATTTGAGTTTGAGAACAATATTACTAGAGTATTTCACAGTTTTTCTTCTTTTATTAGCATATATTCAACTAAGATCATTAAATAAAAAGGTGGAATATATGAAATATAGTTGAAGTCATAATAAAGTATATTTTCTCTTATTGACATAGAATATATGGCACTTAAATTTTGTGTTGGTTCTTTAAGAAAAAAAGTTCTCCTGGTAAATAATATGCATAACCATTGCCCAAAAATGTATACAGCTGTTTTCCCCAAAATATTTATATATACATAGTAGTGCTCTTAAGACTAGCCCGGTTATAAACCTACTGAATATAATGTGCTCTTAATTTAGAAATGGGCTAAACTCGGTATATAAAATGCAGAGGCATGGATGTTATACGTACAAAGTAAAAAATACAAACAGGTGATGGAAAAAGAAAAAGAAGGTACATCCCTGTAAGATAAAGATAAAGGTCATTATAATTAGGGAGACAAGGGCCAGGGATTTAGCCGCTGCCTGCCTTGCAAGCGCAAGGACCTGGGTTTGATCTCTGGTACATAATAATAATAATAATAATAATAATAATAATAATAATAATGACAATGTAAAATGCCTGAAGAATTGCAGTTTTGGCAAATGTTTTTCAGAAAAATATCCAAGCTACGAGAACACTAAATGGTTGTCTTAATAATTTAGTAGAAGTTTCCATTTAAACATTCAGTGATGATGTTGTGACCTTGTTGCATGTAGAAGACTTTGAAGGATTGGTTAAAAAAAAAAGTCACTCAGTTTTAGCAGATTTTTAATAACTTCTTAATCAGGTATGTGTGGTGCTGGGAATCAGATCCTGGTCCATTAGCATCTGAGTATATTTGATGGACACTTTCAATGGATAGGATCTGAATACTTCTAGACCTTAGAGGAAATACGGCAGGATGTTATGACAATGGAGGGTGTCAGCCCCAAAGGTGGCCAGCCCAATCTTGTGTCAATGTTAAAAAACACACCAGATGTTTCTGTAGCATTCTTTCTGCTGCATTTTTTTTTATTTCAAGCCACAGATCTACTGGGAGGATCATGCAGCAAGTGGCTTGTACATAAAATCAGAGTCTATGAATAGTGTAATCACGTTAAGAGACAGAATTGCTGGATTCTCTCTTTATGGATAAAGGTCGCATCTTGGGAATCCATGAGTTGGTATTATTTATGGAATACCTAAAATGGAGGACACAAACCATTTAAGTCAATAAGACATACATACAATTCAGGAGTTAAAGCAATGAAGACTATTCAATCATTTATTGAACTGTAAAGTTCATGTGATTTCTAAATAATACTTCCCAGGTAAAATGCAACCAATTTAACCAGGCCAATTCTAAAGTTAGCAAATATTACCATTGTTGCTGTTTATCAAGGCAAACAATCCCCACTCTTCTTGAATCTCAGAATGTTACTGAAGAAATAATCTAAAGAGTGACCATATGCATTTTAGAAACCTAATCATTTGGATACTTGTGTCCTTTAGCTTCGAGAGATGCTGTATGTCTCATTTTTCATAGAGACCATCCCTTTTCTGTTGACATGGTATCCAAAAAAAAATCCATTGAGAACAATAAAATCAATGAAAACTTTCAGCTACAATGTGATTTTCTTCAGATCATCACGATGCAGCCCTCAGGATAATGAAAAGTGATAGAATATTTTCTAAAACAATCCATATATTTCTTTAATAAATTTAAATTACAGTTCTCATGGGAACATTTAGTCTTCCACCAAACATTCTTGAGAATTAGAAAGGGAAGAAACATCTGCTAATTTCATACAGATTTATGTACTGAAGCCCTTAGCATATTAACACTAATACAGCTATTGTTAGAACAGAAACAGATTATTTGGAATAAATTTATACTGAGTACATTGGATATGAAGAATATAAAAAATAATAATATAAATTTATACTGAGTACATTTGGATATGAAGAATATAAAAAATAATAATATAAATTTATACTGAGTACATTTGGATATGAAGAATATAAAAAATAATAATATAATCTAGCTTTAAATTCTCATGCAAGTAACTCAAAGTTTTTCATTAATTAAAAGATAATGTTCTGCTAATGTAGTTTTCATTTCATATTTATATATATAGCACTATACTGGTGATAATAAGCTACATAAATGTAGATTTCTACAATCAGATATATTTTCCACATTCATAAAGTTTAAATTCTACATCTGAAGCTGGATGTGGTGGTGCATGCCAGCACCTGGGTGGCTGAGGTGAGAGAACTACCACGAGTTCGAGGCCAGCCTAGGCTACATAGTGAGTTCAAGGCCAGCTAGAACTACATAGCATGACCCTGTCTCAAAAAACGTACATGTATACACACATGTATATATTTATCTTACACCTTAAACCCAGGTCATCATCTTATTCATTAAGAGAGGTAACTGAACTCTTTCTCTAAATCATGAGGATTTGTAAAAGTGTTTCATTTTCATGGAAACACGGAATAAGAAACATGTCATTTTCACTGTAGCTAGTAATTTGAAGAAAAATTAAACTATCATCAGAAATAGCTTCCAAAGTGGCTATTAGATTTAAATTAGTCCAGCATATGCATGTTATTTCATAACATGCTGAGCCATTTTTTAAGAATACAGTATCTGGTAGAAGTTAATGAGAAAAAGTAAGAATCAGTTTTCATTTCAACTCCAATTAAGTCACAATTTGAAAAAATATATATATATGGGCTGGGGATGTAGCTCAGTGGCACCATGCCTGCTACACACACACACACACTGTGTACATATATGAGATATATTGAACCCAGGGCCTTGTGCAAGTGCTTTACCACTGAGCTACATTTCCAACCTTTTTACTTTGAGACAAGGTTTCACTAAGTTACCTAGGCTTGTCTCAAATTTGGGATCCTCTTATCTCAGCCTCCTAAGTGGCAGGCATTATAGGTATGTGTCACTGTGCCCATCACACACACACACTGTGTACATATATGAGATATATTGAACCCAGGGCCTTGTGCAAGTGCTTTACCACTGAGCTACATTTCCAACCTTTTTACTTTGAGACAAGGTTTCACTAAGTTACCTAGGCTTGTCTCAAATTTGGGATCCTCTTATCTCAGCCTCCTAAGTGGCAGGCATTATAGGTATGTGTCACTGTGCCCATCTTCAAAACACATTCTTTTAATTAAAATGACTATAAATCTTCCCGAATTTTAGTTTTATAGGAACTCTGGGAACATGTTCTGGCCAAAACTTTTGCCAGAATTGAAACTTAACAAGCTTGCTTAGCAAATTTTCAGAAACTCAAAAAAAAAAACACAATTTATGTACATTTGAAAACCAAGTTAATGTCAAATTATGTTCTAACTTTCATCAGTCACTCTGACAATCATTTAAACATTAACATTTGTACTTTCTGCTCTTGCTTATTGCTGCAGCTGACAGGAGAATATAGCTCCTCAAAGAAATCATTTACTAAATATAAAAAAGTTGAAGCAAAGTCAGTCTTTAATTCTAGCTGTTTCAAAATAACTGATATAACTAATTAAACATTTAATTGATTTTCTAGGGTCTTAAAGCATAGAAATGAAAAAATACCAAAAATGTTCTGAGTTACACATAAATACAATAAAGCTAACTAACAAAAATTATCTAATTTAAAGAGTAACTAACCTGAGATGTACCTTGCTCCGATTAACATTACCATGCTACTCACTATAAAAATGCCCAAAGGCAGACTACAGAAGATACTAGGGTCACCTGTGGTCATCCAAGTAGAAGGTAATTCCAGTCAAGCAAACCAAAAGAGAGACACATAATTACAATATTTGTTAAGAATCACATGATAGCAAAACAAAATAAGTTATAAAAATAGCGTATTCATAAAAGGTAGCAAAGAGTTATTATTTCAAATCAAAAATATAATCAATACCAAAGGCTTATGACAGTTAACAAACAATACAGACAACATGCCACAAGTAGCCAAGAACATAGTTGGTACAGATCAATATCAGCCTTGCATTGGCAAAGCAGAACGCAGCCTATGAAGAACTTTTTGGGAGGCTGTGGGCTTGAGCTTTCTAGATTCTTCCCCTCAAAGATATGAAACGAGCAATCCAGTTCACTCAAAACTCAAATTATGGGTCCTTTGGGTGTCAGGGAAGAGTTACATTGTTCTATTGGAAAATGAATTTAAATCCTCATTTCTACTAAAACATTTGTTTGCTCTAATTTTCTAGATAGAATTTGGTGTGTAAAGAAATGTAACTGGTAATTCATAAAATGTAACTGCAAAACTATATTAACCTACTTATCTGATATAATTATTTTGACAGTTTTTAACTTGAATTCTCATGGAACCCCCTTTTTAAAAAGCAATTCCTTACATATACCCTTTTATTAAAATTAAATAATTATATATGTAGAATATGTAATACTTGTTTTTTGGTGGTGGTGGTGGTGGTGGTGTGTGTGCACATGCATGTGTGTTGAGGACTGAACCTAACTAAGGCATGCATCTAAGCTGTACTTCCAGTCCTCAGAATACTAATACTCTTTAAAAGAGAAGTTTATTTAAAATAAAAAATACAGGAGTTAAGAAAATACAAACATTAGACTTCACTGAAATACAGCTAAAGATTCTGTCATATCTTGTAATATAGTAAAGCAATGTAGTCATTTCTCTGCTTTTAGAGGGAGAAGATTTTTTTTCTCCTTCACCACGAATTTCTTTTCCTTACAGGATAGATTTTCATTAAAGAGGGGCATAGCTTGGTGTGATGGCACATGCCTGCAATCCCAGCACTTGGGAAGCTGAGGCAGGAGGATTACCATAACTTTGAGGCCAGTCTGGGCTACACAGTGGGTTTAGGGCCTGCCTGAACTACATAGTGTGACCTTGTCTCAAAAACCAAACAAACAAACAAACAAACAAAGGTCATAAGCTATTTCCCCTATTTTGTCACTGCTTATATAGGTTTTTCAAAGAAAAAAACAAGGATTCTTTTATTTCCATTATTTGTGGAGACCATATTTTTAGTTTGATTTTAGAAAAGAGGAATACATATTCTGGTACTCTCAGAGCAAGCAGTCAGCTATTATAAAGTTATACTAACTGAGATTTCTGACGTCCTCACAGTGTATTCTGGTTTATAAAGAAGATCAGAAGATTATCTGTATTCACAAGTTCCTATGGATTTAGATGGCATCTATTTAATGAAGCCATTTCTCTTTTGGTGGCAAATACATACAGATATATGTGAGATTTATCTATCTGTCTTATGTATGTGCATATAATGCATGCCTATATATGTAAAACATACTCGTGATATGATAGCTGTACAATGCATTTAAACCAATTTGACCTGTCGTTTTAGTGAATTTTGAGTCCAAAGCCAAAACATCACTTATGATAAGCTTTCTCTAAAAATATAACAAATCCCTAATCACTTCTACAACATTTAAAACACATACTAAATGTATGTTTTTTGTGAGAAATTGAAAGTGTAAATAAGGTTCAAAACATATAATAGATAATGAGTGTCAAATAGGAAGATCCAAAGGGGAAAGGGAATTGGCAGGGGTAGGGGAAAGGAAAGAAGGAAAAGGAATAAGTGTGAAAAAATGAAAAAATGGAAATAAAGTCTTTGTAAATACGGAGGGGTGGAGGGGTTGAAGGGAAGGCAGGGAAATGGGGGGAAAAAATAACCAAGGGCGGGGGATTTAGCTCCGTGTCAACGCACCTGCCTTGCAAGCACAAGGTCCTGAGTTTGATCCCCAGTACCGCCAAAAAAATCAAGAACCAAGATATATCATGTAAGGGTACACATTCCCAATACCTAAAACATACCAATAAATTTAGTGAATTAAAAAAACTGTTCATAATGCATTCATATATAAACAAGATTGTTTCAAAATTGCCAAACTGCTTTGGAACTTAAGCAAGTGTAATATGATTCTCACAAATTAAGCAACCTAGAAATAGGATATCAGGGAGCAATTCTAATAATATTGAAATAGGGTTCTATGTGATTGCTATTATCAATATACCTGATTATATTATAGATAGCTGATGCTGCTTAAAGAAATTCAATTGATAATTTATTAATATTATTCTGAGATTATACAATTTAGATCCCCCAAAATTATCATTACAATGTTTTTATAAATCTAGTAAATAATTTTATACTCTGTGTTAAAGACACTACAGTCTAAATGAAACAAAGACAGAATTTTTAAAGCTCTAAAACTGTCAAAATATCAAATTACTTTTAATATCAACACTGACAGTAGAAACTAAATGTAATTTTTTTCTTTTACCAACTTTTCCAGGGCATTTTAATGTCATTGACAGTAAGGCACATAAAGGGAAAATGATCCATTGGTTTTGTGAGAATTTTGCAACTAAAAGTTTATCTTCAACTGCTAGTAAAGAGAAATATGTATATGTGTATAAGGTATGGGGTGGAGACAGGACTGTGACATTAACAAAATTCATCTATTGGGCTGTGGATTTAGCTCAGTGGCACTGTGCCTGCCTGGCAAGCATAAAGTCCTGAGTTTGATCCCAGTACCAAAAACAAAAACAAAAAAAATAACAAAAACCAAACCAAACCAAAAAAGAAAAAATTTATCTACTCAAAGAAATCATGTAACTCAATTTCTCATCAACCATTACTTCAGGACAACTAGAAAAGAAGTCAGGGTCCCTTTCTGTTATATCTCACATTGCAACTGAAGTATGCTTAAAAAAAACTTATGACTGGGAAGTGTATTTGTAAAGGGTCTCAAAATTGCAGTCTTAGAAGCCGGGCATTGTGGTGCACGCCTATAATCCCAGCACTCAGGAGGCTGAGCCAGGAGGATCACTGTGAGTTTGAGACTAGGTTGGGCTACACAGTGAGTTCCAGATCAATCTCAATTACACAGTGAGATCCTGTCTCAAAAAACCAAAAAAAAAAAAAAAATTGCAGTCTTAGCAAGAAAGACATGGCTACCACCTCAGAAATGAAAGCTGAATCTCAGAATTAAAAAGATCGTATGTTTATTTAGAAGAAAAAGCCAAAGTTTCAAGTAGGAATACTCAGGACTAAAAATATAGATCAGAGCGAGCTGCGGTAGTAGTGTATTGTTCTGGAAGCTTCTCCTAAAAGCCACATATATTAAAAGTGGTTCTATATGTTGGAAGGCAGGTAGTATTTTGATTTAAATTTTTTAATTTTTTTTCTCTCATTGAGTTTATTGGTACATTTTAGGTATACAGTACAGTTACATTCATTACTGGGATCTTGTACCTCTACATGACAGGTCTTGGTTCTCATTTTTTTCCTCTTGTCCCTACCCTCCCTTCACCCTTCCTCCCTCCCTTGATTTAAATTTTTCCACTAAAGTATATGCTTCAATATATTATTGGCCATGGTTCAAGTCATTATGCTCCAATTCTTGCATTTAGAAAAGAACTATAATATTAATGATAGTTTAAGGCTGTTGAAATTTAGATGGCTTACTTAAACTGAATACTTTCCTGCCTAAGAGATTTGAAAAATAAAACAGTTCTCTATTTTCTGCCAAAAGTGTTTTTCAATTTATTATAATGCTTCTAATTTAGTACGTTTAGTACATTTTTTCCTCTGGGACTCCAAAGGAATTCCTACTATGTACATTATCTTAGTGCTGAGAATCACCTTATGAAATAGCAGACTATATTTTCAAATTAGTATAGCTTTCAATTAGTTCAAGTCATGAAGATAGCCTCCCAAAAAGGTGAGACAGAGAGAAGAAAGAGAAACAAAGAAATCTCCAGTTGATTTTTTTTAATTAAGAAGAAACTAGAAATAATTTTACTTATAGAAAATCCAGTTCCAGGAATAAACTAATAAGGAAAGGCATGCAGGATAGGGTGAAAGTATCTATATTATCCTGATAATTTCCATTTTCTGTTTGGAGCTTTAAAATGTTCTCAAAATGTTAGAAACTTTGGGCATATGATAATGCATTTCTTCAGAGCAGTCTAGCTAAGTGTAAATGGCCAGATACTCAGATAAACGAGCATACTAAGAAAAAGTGGCAATAATAAACAATAAAAAGGTTTTACCACTTTCAGGAGACTGAGTTGTAGCCCAACCCATTGATTTCATCACAGCTTTCTTCCACGTAGAATAACGAATTTCACTTTCTAGAATTTGAAGGCAGGAAAAATACACATATGAAAGGTAGTTTGCAAAGATGTTCTAAGCATCATACTATAATCGCTCAACATTCTCCATAAAAAGTGTTACACACCATTAAACTAAAGTGAGGCTTTACCTGGACTCATGGTTACTGGTGACAGGTAATGACTGGAAGAGCCACTTGCTTGCAAACTAGAGGACAGTATGATGGGAAATTCGGCATGGGACTGTAGGAGGAAGGAGACTGGCACACAGACTACCTGCTACTCCCCAAAAAGTGAACTGTTTCAACAAAGGGGAATCCTATTTGATCTGTTTTTGGCTTTTTAAGGGTGTGCAGGGGGTTCTGACATGAAGAGAGGGGAAAAGTAGAAGTATTGCTTTTGGTCCAGTCAAAGGATTTAGGAAATGTTAATTTATCACAAGATTCAAACCGCACTCCTGTGAGAACCCCTGATATTTTAAAGGCAGTTTCTTCAAGGTGAAAATCCACAACAGGAAGACTAAACAAAATGAGCATTGAGACCGTACTCATAAGGGTCCTGAACCATGCCTGAGGTTAGACTTCTCTAAATCCTTCCAGCCTTCTAAGCCTCAAGGATCACTTACTTCAAGAGATCACTCACTGTCTGACTTCTAGCCCCTGCTCCCTTTTCTCACAATACTTCACATTCACCTCAGGGTGTCAGGAATCACAGTTTATTTTTATGGTTTGGCCTACCTCTGCCATATATGAGTCTCTGGAAGGGGAAGGACTTAAGTCTTATTTATCTCTTTATCCCCAACACTAATAACAAATCCTGGCCTCCAGCTGGATCTAGACCACAGTTTGCTGGAACAATGAACTATCTGCATCTAGCTGCTGAGTGACGTGTCGGGGTGGAAAAAGGACAACTGCCACAATTGGTCAACTCCAGGCCAGAGCCTGAAACACTGGCAAAGATGGCCCTCCTCCTAAATGATAATCCTAAACCCTTTGCACAAAACTTCCTTGTTTTAGGAACAGGATAAGTATTTAAAGGTTACATACCTGATCTAAATATCATTTGCTTATGTATTAAAAAGTGGTTTTGTTTTTCTGAAGTAGGAAATTTTTTTACTTCATATTTTATCCAGGATTGCAAAAATTTAAAAATTCAGACAAAATATCAGATTTTGAAACAAAACAAATTTCTACATCATGGTATATGGTTTACTAACTACAGAATCATTAATATTATAATTCATTTTCTTATATATGGAAAAGAATGAACAAAATTAAGAAACACTGGCAGTCTTCTAAAAAATTAAACAAAAAATGCATTTGAAAACTTATTTCCCAATAGTTCAAAATTCACTTCAATGCTCTTTTATGCAAAGGTTTCTAAAGCTATAAAAACAAATTCAATATATAAATCCTATTTTCCAACTCATTTAAGAGCCGCATCAC